GGATAAAGACCTTCTTTTTCTTTCCTTGATGAAGGGATAAATAGAGACAATAAGGAGACTGCTTATCATGTGAATTACTGGTGTTTTAAGTGCAAATTGCATAAAAAATTGCATAATTTATATAATTTAAATTACAAAAGTATCAAAACATTCTCAATAACTCTTATTCATTAAGAGTATTTGATATTTTCATAGATTCAAAAAAAAAAAAAAAAAAGGAAAACAGATTACATGCTTCATTCAAAGAACCAATAGAGGGACCCAAAGGTTGAAACATTGAAAACATGAGCTGGTTGCCAAGAAGAAAGTTGTTAATTAGGTTAATTAAAGAGGACTTTGACAAGGGTTTGATATAGAAAAATACACAATTCGAAAAAGAAAAAGCCAGTAAACGGAACAAAACAATAATGCAAAAGAAGATAAATACAAAAAACAAAAAATCACAATTCTTGACAGAGGGGAATAGAGCCTAAATTAACCATTCTAATGACAATTTTTGGTTTTCGTTGTTCATTCTTTGATTGAAATGTTAGGTAGTAACAGAGATTCATTATATTTCCTAAGAATTGTCATCTGTCAAATTATTGTTCCCATGCATAAAAGAATGAAGAAAAAGGATGAACTATTGTTCCTATAACTAATCCTTATCTTCTTTTAACATAAAAGAAAAAAAAATAGCTGAACTATTGAAAGTCAGATCTCTACAGGTATACAATGACTCCCAACTGATAGTCAACCAAGTAAATTCCATATGTGAGGTTGCAGATCTTGTTCTAGCCAAATACCTAGTTGTAGTTTCTAAGCTGATGTGCCGATTTGAGAGATTCCAGCTCACAAAAGTCTCGAGGTTGAAGAATGAACATGCAGACTCTTTGTTGAAGTTAACGTATGATAGCTCCAGAGGTGGGAGGTCTATCTATGTTAAGGTCCTTAACGAACCAAGTATTTAGAAGTCAGAGGTGATGGAAGTTAGCATTGATCCTAAAACTCCAAGTTGGACAGATCCTATCAAGGCCTACCTCCGAGATGGAATTGTCCCGAATGACAAGTGAAAAGAAATGATGCTGTGGAGAAAAGCATCTCAGTACACCTTGCTTGATGGTATCTTGTATAAGAGGTCGTACTCACTCCCTCTTCTTCGTTGCTTAACTCCTTACGGGGTCAAATATGCCCTTTGCGAGGTGCATGAAGATGTATGTGGGGGTCATATTGGAGCTTGGAGTCTAGCTCACAAAGTACTCCGCCAAGGATCCTATTGGCCCAATATGCAAGAAGATGCCAAGAAATATGTTCAGAAGTGCCAAGAAATATGTTCAGAAGTGCCAGAAGTGCTAATTCTTTGCACATCTCACTCACCAACTAGTGGAAAAACTCACTAACTTGGTCACACCATTGCCTTTTGCCCAATGGGGGATAGATTTGCTTGGTCCTTTTGTTAAAGGCATGGGCAGAGTAACACACTTGGTTGTGGTAGTTGACTACTTTACAAAATGGGTGGAAGCTTAGCCTCTTTCCAGTTTGAGCTTGAAAAAGGTTGAAGACTTTGTTTTTCGCTCGATCATTTGTAGATTCAGAATCCTAACTTAGATCATTGCTGACAATGGACCTCAGTTCAACTGTACCTCCTTTAAGGACTTCTGTACTAGTTATGGGATAAAGTTGGTATTCACTTCTGTTTACCACCCCGAGGCAAATGGAATGGTTGAATCTGTCAATAAAGCAATCTTAGAGGGAATTAAACCGAGGTTAGATCAAGTCAAAGCCAGGTGGGTAGACGAGCTCAATAATGTTCTCTAGGCCTACTGAACCACGAGTAGAACAGCCACGGGTACGCACCTCTTTCCGACCTCTTGCTTTCTTTTGATCCGAAGTTATAAATAGCTGTGCCAAACAAACCCTAAAACTACAACTTCTCTAAATTAGGTGAAACACCCTATCACTTAGCTTTTGGGATCAAAGCAGTCATTCCTGTGGAAATAGGTGTCCCAAGCCTACAAGTGAGTCATTTCGACAAAACACGAAATGAGCAACTACTCAAGGAAAACCTCGACCTTTTAGACGAAATCCACGAGCAAGCTCGACTTCGAACATTAGCTTACAAGCAAAAAATAGCTAACTTTTACAATAAACGAGTTCGACCTCGAACTTTCAAAGTAAGTGACCTCGTCCTAAGGAAAGCAGAACTTACAAGCTTCGAAACACATTTCGACAAGTTAGGGCCTAACTGAGAAGGTCCATATGTCATAGTTGAACTACCTCACCCCGGCACTTATGTGCTTGTAAAGCCAAAGGCAAAAAAGTCCCTAGAGTATGGAATGTAAATAATTTAAGAAAGTTTTATTCTTAATAAAACTTGACTTTACCATTATATACTAAAACTTTTGAAGTCAAAGTCAGAATCTCATTTCAGTTCTGGCCTTGCTCTTACCACTAATTTCCAAGGTTGGAAATTTACTTTAGCCTATTGTTTAATATGAGCTCGGCTTAATTTTACTTCTGCTTTATTCAAACGTCCGAAGTCATACATTTTAGTTCAATCTTATTGCCTTTTTTAATTCATTATTTACATTTAATGTCAGAAGTCATGCATTCACACTAAAATTGTACATAACAATAATTTTTTGAAATTTTATTTTCATTCATTAAAAATTATATTGTTCTTAAAAATACATCAAAATTGAGAAAAGCTAGCTGAACTCAGTTGATCACCAAATGCTATTGATCCACCTCTTGCTTAGCAGCATTATCTCTAACCTCGGTGTTGCCAGGAACCTCGACCTCATCTTCATCGACTGCGATGAACTCATACTCTAGACATGGAGGGAGCACAGTTCATTCAGCCTTATCCCGATCCCAACTTAGCGTAATGTCTGAGCGGAACTCAGCTATCTTACTTTCCCCATCTTCCTCTACCCCAGCCTCCTAAGGTCCGAATGTGATTTTTGTCACATCCATCTCAGGATTTAGTGCCTTCACCTTCTTTCTGCAGTCGTTGAAGGCCATCACTAGTGTGGGTAGGCGGAAAAACTCCACGATTTCGGAGAATGTCGCCGAGTTGACGAAATTAGAGACGTGTTGCTCAACCGAGTTGTGCACCTCTAGCTCCGATTTCCTCTAGATCTCAGCCAGCTCTTTTCGTGCCTTGGCCAATTCCTCCTTAGTCTTCTTCCTCTTGTCCACCTCGGCCTTGGTGGCCGCCTTGGCAAAAGTCAACTCCTCCCTAACCTTCTCGAGCTCCGAGGTTAGATCATTGAAGTTCTGCTTGGCTGACTGCTTCTGCTGGTTGAGCTCTTGATTCTTCTCAACTAGGTTGTTCCTCTTCTTGAAGCAGTCATAATATTCAACTACCAAGGCATTCACAAGGTTCACCATCTACAAAAAGAGCTAAGGTAAAAAAAAAAAATTTTTTGAGGATAATCTCAACTCTCACCTCGAGCATGTGGCGGACAACGCCAGAACCTTCGTGCTCGTCCACCTCATGCCTAGCTTTTTTGAGATCCACCTTGGGAAAATGGATCTGATAAAGCGCTTGGCAGCAATCTTGCTTGTATTTTCGTAAAAGCTCGATTTCTACCTTAGAATAGGGGACTCCTTTTCGACTCCTTCCCCTTTCCATGCGTTACCACCCCCACTTCTCGCAGAGATGGATCAATCTGAATCGACGGAGGTCGAGGCACGAACTCAACTAGAGCCTCAATTTGAAGAGGCTACACCTCCTCCACCCTCTTCCACTTCCGTGTTGCAGCCTCTTCTTCAACCATTTTTCTCCTCCACTCTGAGTTGGGGCCCACTTCAACTCAAGCTCCCTTGCTCGGGTGGGGTCTTGAAGTCCCACCCGCCTTCTCCTCAATAGCAGCCAGACCTGGGGCCTTGGACCTCTTCTCCGGGAGGGCAATGGTCTTGCCTCCAGACAACAGTCGGTTCATCTCTCCTGCAACATAAAATAGAATTAGTAAAATGTTCAATTCGCACCTCAGATATGCTTAAAAATAAATAAACCGACCTCCGCCCATAGAACTCCACCCATAGATCTCTACCGCCTCTCACATCTCCGGGCTGGTGAGATACATGATATCCATCACCTCCCCACCCCTTCTCTCCAACCTCTCCACCTTATCCTGCTCCCTCGCACTTAGTGAATATTGGTTGTGGTTAGCCTTCTTCCTCTTCCACCTACAAACCTCAGCTAGCTTTGCATCTGACCTCCCCCACTCCATATTGTCCATAAAAAAAAAAAACTTATCTTTTCACCCCTTTATAGACGAAGGGCCTATGCTAAACAGGTTCCTCCCTACCCCCCCAGCTAGTCGAGGTGTGAAATAGAACCACCCCTTCTCCTCATTGCTACCCCCCTTTATTAAGAAAAAATATTTAAATATATTGACTGTGGGCACGACACCTCATGTTCAGCAGTAGACTAGGAATCCTAAAATTAACCGAACAACGTTTGGGACGAGTTGTGTTATCCCTAGCCTGTACTCCACCAACAATGCTACTAACAGCTCGGGCACTGGAAACCTAGGCCCAACTATCAAGTAGTGCCTATATATTGGCATCCAATGGTCTCTTAGAGCCGAGCATGCTCGTTCCATCTCCTCAGCTAGCCTAAGCAAGACGTGCCCTGGGATGGAATACTACTCCACTAAATGGGCAAGGTCACTTCAACTCCTCCATAAACTCTCATACCCCACCACCTCCGAACTCACCTCCTCCTCCTCATTATAGTACTTAGCCCTATTGTCATCCACCTCTAACACATTAGAAAGAACTCCAACCTCTTCTATTTCACCTTTAACCCTCTCACTCCCTCCACTCCTAGAAGTTTCTACTTCGCTACTGCTGCTCGAGCTCAACTCTTGCATCCCCTTTCCACTTTCAATACTTAGTGTCTGTTCTAAAGACATGTTTCCTGACTCATTACAAGTAGGATGAGGAGAACAGTTAAGATCCTAAACTAATTCCCTCACTCTCTACTTCACTCCCAAACCTATTCCTAATTTCCCCCATCGGGGTTAGTCTTAGGTTTGAAATGAGTTAGATTAGATATTGAAATCAGAAGTCGAGCTCACGAGATTACCTTAACTTATGATGGCCGAACTAAAACACTTGAAAGATTTTTTAGACAACTACAAGCTTGTACGACGAGGTGCTCTTGTTTCACTTCGCTATAAAATCAACAAGGTAAATTCTGAATAACTCAAGCCTAGCTATTTATATTGAAGCCTCACTCCCTTTGACGGTCACGATCGTTTGAATCTAACGGTCATGATCGTTTGAATCTAACGGTCACGATCGCGTCCTTTCGAATTCGATAGTTATTCCTAACTACGCCATTTATTATAGCACGTCACACAAGGATAGCTGTCAGCCTTTCAAATTAACTCATTTAATTTTACTTTATTTTCCTTTTCGGCTCTATTTCAAAAACCAATCCAAATTCAACCAAACCATATTAACTACTTCTTGGGTAGTATATATTCACTCATAATTTGTCACTTCAGCTTTGGCCATATATTACACGACCACGTGTCATGATTTTTCACTTTGGCTCCAACCATATATTACATGACCATGTGTCATGATTTTTCACTTCGGCTCCGGCCATATATTACATGACCACATATCATGATTTGTCACTTTAGCTTCAGTCATATATTACATGACCGCATCTCATGATATTATTACTTTAGCTTCGGCCATATATCACATGACCACGTGTCACGTTATGATCACTTCGACTTCAGTTGTACATTACATGACCTCGTTATGATGTTTCCACTTCGACCCCGGCTATTTACCAAGACCTCATGTCATAACATTTCCACTTCGGCTTAGGCCATACACCATGACCTCGCCCTTATACCCTTTAGTTTTGGCCTTGCACCATACCCACGTCATCATATTCTCACTTTGACTTGGGCAATCACCCCCAAATCCAATCCAAACCTTCATATCATTCACAAGTGGATGATTTCGAGGGGAAATAGTGTAGTGGTGGTAGTTCGAGGTGACGTGCCTCGTTGTAGTCCAAGGTCAAGTACCTCGGGCGACCTGATCTATTCCAAACAATCTAGTCACCTCGATGTCAAAGAACAACGAGCTTAGTCGAGTTCAAGCTCGTCCTTTTTGCTCCTGTTCTACAGTAACTCCGTACATGCACAGATCTTTCAGGAGAGTTTCCTGTGATCATGTGCCTCGTTGTAGTCCGATGTCAAGTACTTCGAGTGACCTGATCTATTCCCAACAATCTAGTCACCTCGATGTCAAGGAACAACAAGCTTAGTCGAGTTCGAGCTCGTCCTCTTTGCTGCTATTCTATAGTAACTCTGTACATGCACGGATCTTTCAAAAGAGTTTCCTGCAATCATGTGCCTTGTTGTACTCCGAGGTTAAGTACCTCGGGCGACCTGATCTATTCCCAACAATCTAGTCACCTCGATGTCAAAGAACAACGAGCTCAATCGAGTTCGAGCTCGTCCTCTTTGCTCCTGTTCTACAATAACTACATACATGCACAGATCTTTCAAGAAAGTTTTCTGCGATCATTGACACATATAATCCTGATTGCCCGTGAAGAACAATACGTGGATGCCCCTTTGAAAGCTATAAATACCCCCCAAGGATCCTCCCTAAAAGGTAATTGAAACCGAACTCAAGTTCAGCTCTTGATTCATATCTGGTAGCTCTAATTACTGTTGACTTAGGTATCGGAGTGTCTACCACGAGGACCAACCTTGGGACTTTGCAAGTTAGCAGAAGTGAAGATCCGAGCTCAGGAATACTCTGGAGTTCTTTTGTAACTACACTAATGTCTCTTGTTTCTCTATTTTTTTTTAGTATCTTTTTGAAAAGGTATTTTATAAGACATTATACATTAAAAACATAACTTATTTCATAAATTTATTTAAATATTTTTAATAAAATTTTTTTATATTATTTCATTAAAAATATTTAAATAAATTTATAAAATGAATTATATTTTTAAATATACAGTCGGTTATATAAAACTTCAATCTCATGTCTTTTTCATTTTTGCTGTTCATTTTTTGTTATCTTATCTTCATGAGTAATGATTTGTTATAAAGTTTTTTTTTTTACCCAAAGATTAAGTATTAAATTCTAAATCTTAATTAAAAGTATAAATAATTTGTTTGAAGTTTTAAATTAGAGAGGAAACAGGGACTCAGTCCTAGTCTGTCCCAAACACAATTAAAGAACCAAAAGCCCAACAGCTTCTGTCTCTCTTCTATTCTCCTAGAATAACCCACTTATGTAGGTGCACTGATCATCTAATCCCTACTAATTGATCTTTATGGAGTATTAAAAATGTTATAATGTCTAATTATGGCTATAAAATAGATGAGACAGCCATTTACATCCTACCTATTATGCAGTTGTAATTTAATATCTTGACATTTTAAAATATTTTGATACATGCAATGGTGTAATTTTAAGTTTTCTAAATATATATAACATGTAATTGTGATTTAATATTATTCTTAATCTCTCATTCAAAGTCTTTAATTCTTAAAAAATTCATTTTTCATATATATGTCTTTTTTCTTTTTCTTTTTTGAATGGCAGAAAATCTATTTATGTAAAGTACAAGAGGTACTTCAAAACTATACATTCTTGATTTCTTCCTTTTCTTACAACCTGTGAAGCCAGATAACATTGGACATCTAGCAAACTTTTAAAAACCAAACATTTCACAGGAGCAAAACACTTGTTACTCCAATACAAGTATACCCAGACTGTCCAATCGGCACATTCATTTCCTTACCTCTTTTTGATCTTCTTGGCACATTCCCTTGGAGAAGAGGTCCAGTCCTTGAATGAAAAATCCACTTGCGCTGCTCTTCCTATTAGCTAGAGGTAAGATCGTGTTTGACTAATGTGAATAATTTCTCCTCATCAGCATCAATTGCCTTAAATAACAGTTCGTTTCCATGCAACCATAAAATCCATACAACAACAAACCATACAACCTTCCACACACCATTGCCTTTCTTCCTGATACTTGTCCAAAAGCGTTGTTGAACATCTTGCTCTAAATTACCATTCATGACATAGGAAAAACCCCACCACCTTAAGCATTTTAATTATAGCCTCCAAGCAATCAAGCAATTTAATAACAAATGATCCCCACTCTCATTGCAGAAGCCACACAAATTACAAATAACTTGGGATTCCTCTATATATATAAGTCTATACAGTGGTTAACTTGGCAAATTTCTATTATTGGTGAATATTTTTTATTTTACTAAAAAAAATGAGATTTGTCTATCATATACTCTAAAGGTATAGGGTAAAATGCAACTATTAGCTAATAACTATCATTTTTATAAAAACAAAATGTGAAATTTTAAATTAAAAAACAAGTTTTGATTTTAATTTCAAAATAAATGAATCAAAAACTAATATGCGGTATTAACAATTAAAATAGAAGTCAATTTTATCTTTTCTAAGATAAAAGATAATTAATAATAATTACACAAATATTACTCCTTATTCAAGACACATGATAGATAAACTGAAAAAAAAAAAAGAAAAAAAGTGGTACATTCCATATCAAAATAAAAGCAAGCATGCTAAAATGAGCGAGGACTAAGCGAAGACAGTGGCGGAAGTTGCGTCAACGGGACCGTGGTGGTGGAGAAAACTAAGGAGGAGGAGGACTGTTGAAGTGAAACGGAGGATTCAGTGTGGAGCGGGACAATGTTGTTGGAGGACGCCGCCCTCGATCGGGAAGGCCAGCCTATAACCGGACCATAGGAGGTGGGTGGTCTTGGACCACGATTGTTCCGGATCTTGTGCACTACCTTAAAGTTGTAGGGAAAATGAAAAAAGAAGTTGCATCTAGGGAGGACCGAGAAACAACTTCAGTGATTCCACGCGAAAGTAGAAGGCCACAGATGAAGATGAAAGCATAAAGTGAAGATTTAGCTTCCATTTTCATGAGAGCCAGAGGGTATAGTGGTGTACCCTTCGTTATGGGTTAAGGACAATTTATAAGGCCATATTGGCGCCGAACAAATCTCCTGTTGTCGTTGCATTTTCTACAAGCCGACCCTACACGATTAAATTATGTTATTCGGTCCGATTTGGTTCTAATTTTGTATTAATATGTAAACTTTGGGTTTATGAAGAAGCTAGGAATTCCCATTCTAAATGGCTATTTTATTTACTACGATATTTGCTGATAATAAATTCGCGCATGACTGAATACATATATATATATATATATATATATATATGAAAAATAATTAGTATGCACTTGATTTAATAAATATTTTGACACTCGTTTTATTTCAGTTGTTAAAATATAATATAAATAAAACTGATTTAATTAGTTCGTACATTCTGTATATATAATTGCATTTTTAAGTTTGTTCGACTTTAATTTTATACTAAATAATAATAATAATTTTCAATAAATGTGTTGTAAAATGTATTAAACTGAAATATGTATTGATTACTATCCTATATATATTGGTGATTATTTCACTCCAAACCCTTTATTTTTATTCTGTAAGTTATTTCTATTATTTTTTTCATTCAACACACTCAATAATTTTTCCTCCAATCAACACCCTCTATATTTTAAAATCCATTAAAAACTCAAAATTTCACTATGGAAGTTACAAGCCATCAAGCATATGCTTCCATTGCTTTTTAGTTGACATGGTGTTATTTTGATGATGCGGAAAATATTAAGCAAAAAAGAATTTTTTTTGTTTTATTTAACTTTTATCTTTTTGACTTTAATTTTTATGAAAATTTAATGTAGTATAAAAATAATAATTGAATATTTTTTTATTAAATGAAACCACTCAACATGAATTATATATAAGAAAAAAAGATTTTAATGTCATTCATATACTTTGTTATTTTTTTAATAAAAAATCCATGTTTAAAAATTTTTTAAATCAAATTATGATAAACAAAATTAAATAGAGAAAGTATTAAAATTGTCATAACGTCAATTATGACCATAAAATAGGTAGGATAGAGCCAGTTATATTCTACCTATTATGTTGTTATAAATTGAATGTCATGACATTATTATTATTTTGATACAAACGAGGGCATAATTTTAGGTTTTCTATATGCATATATATAACATGTAATTTTGATTTAATATTAGTTTTAATCTCATTCAAAGTCTTTAATTCTTACAAAATTCATTTTTCATATATAAAAGTCTAAACAGTAGTTCACCATCTTAATCATTTTTCGGCTCCACCCTTGCTTGTAACCCTTGCCGATTTCTATTATTAATGAATATTTTTTATTTTAGTAAAATAAGATTTGTCTATTATATGCGTTAACAGCATAAGATAAAAAGTAATTAGTAATTAATAATTGTTATTTTTTTTTAAATGTAAATTTTTAAATTAAAAACTAAGTTTTATTTTTTTGATATTAACCTTTTAATATCCGATAAAAAAAAGAATATAGTTAATTTCACTTGAATAAATTGATTGTTGGTAAAAAGCAAGTTTTATTTTAATTTCAAAATAAAGGGATAAAAAAACTAACACATGATATTTATTATTAAAATAAAAACCAATTTTATCTTTTTTTATTATAAGATAAAAGATAAGAATGATTACACAATTATTGCGCTTTATCCAGCGCACATCATAAATAAACTGAAAAAAAAAAGAGGGTACATTCCATATCAAAATAAAAGCAAACATACATAAAATGAGCGAAGACTCAGCGAAGACGGTGGCGGAGATGGCGGTCAACGGGACCGTGGTGGTGGATAAAACTAAGAAGGAGGACTTTTGAAGTGAAATGGAGGATTCAGTGTGGAGCGGGACAGTGCTGTTGGACGAATCCGCGGTGGAGGAGGACTAACCAGCCGATATTGACCACGTTGTTTATTGGGTTGGGGTGATTGTAGTAATCTACCACCATACTTGTTAGACAGTACCTTAAATTTGTA